CTCTTTCATGCTGTTGAGATGCACTTATGTCTTCTTATAACAAACAAAAGTTTTCACCTGGACACACCGGTATTATCAAGGTGACAAAAGACTAATGTGCCTCCTTCTGAAAATCTATCAACCCCAGAAGAATTTATTTTTATTCCTTCATGGGACGTGGGAATTGCTGGCAAGGCCATCATTTATTTATCTCTAATTGCACTGGAAGGTGTTGGTGGGCTACCTTCTTGATCTGTTGCAGTCCTTGGGCTGTAGGGGCAATCACAGTGCTATTATAGAAAGGGAATTGCAGAATTTTCACTCAGCAACAGTGAAAGAATGGCTACATAGGTGCAAGTCAGTATTGTTTGTCCACTTGTAAGTGGCTGTGCTCCTATGCATCAGCTGTCTTTGTCCTTTGAGGTGGTAGAGGTCACAGGTTTGGAAATTGTGGTCCAAGAAGTCTTGGTGAGTTAGCGCAGTGCCTCTTGTAGATGGTACACACTGATACTAGTGTGTATTTGGTAAAGGGAGTGAATGTTGAAGGTGGTGGATAGGGTACCAGTCAAGTGGACCATTTTGCCTTGGATAGCGTTGAGTTTTTTTTTGCATAGTTGGAGATGCATATACCCAACCAAGTGGAAAGCACCCCTGACTTGTGCCTTGTAGATAATGGACAGGAATTGGGGAGACAGGAGCTGAGTTATTTGCTGCAGAATTCCCAGCCTTTGACCTGCTCTTGAACCACAGTATTTGTATGACTGGATCAGTTCAGTTTCTGGTCAATGTTAATGTCAGGATGTTGATAGCGGAGGATTTGGTGACGATAATGCATTGGAGAGGGTGGGGTGGGGAGGGTGTGGTTAAAATCTCTCATCAGAGGTAGTCATTGTTTGGTACTTGTGTGGCGCAACTGTTGCTTACATCAGCCCAAGCCTGGATGTTGTCCAGGTCTTGCTTCTTGGTTTCTGACATGTCATGAATGATTCTGAATATTGTACAATCATCAGTGAACATGTCCACTTCTGGCCTTGTGTTGGAGAGAATGTCATTGATAAAGAACCTAAGGATGTTTGGATCTAGAATACTATCCTGAAGAATTATTGAAATGATGTCCTTGGGCTGAGATGACTGACCTTAACAATGACATCTCGCATGAAGGAAGACGGTTATGACTCCAACCAGTTTTGAACTCCCCCAACCCCTCCGATTCCCAGTGAATCCAGATTTGTGAGGGCTCTTTGATGCCATATGTGGTCAAATGTCACCATGATGTCAAGGGTAGTGACACTCTGTTCAGCTTCCAAAACGACAGTCAACATGGATCATGGGAAACCTCTCTGCTGGCTGGAGTCATACTTGCACAAAGGAAGATAGTTGTAGTTGTTTGAGGTCAATGACCTCAGGTCCAGGATATCTTTGGATGGCATCCAGAGTGTAGTGTCCTAGGCCCAACAATCTTCTGCTGCTTCATCAACGCCCTTCCCTCATAAGCAGGGATACTTGGTGACGATTGCACAATGTTCAGCACCTTTCGCAACTCCTCAGATTTTGAAGCAGTTTTTGTCTAAATGCAGCAACACCTGGACCACATCCAGTTTTGGGCTGACGAGTGGCAACTAACAATCACACAAAGGTCACACAAAAGTCAGGCAGCGACCAACTCCAACAAGAAATATAATCTAACAATCATACCTCAACATTCAGTGGCATTGCCATCAATGAATCCTCCATTATCAATACTTTAGGGGTTACCATCAATGCTCCATTCAAGCTGCATGGCCATGCGGCATTGCTCCTGCTTCCAGGAGCTACCAATGCACGTGGACCTTGCATGTCAGCATAGCAGCAAGAAAAATTACAGGGAACATTGGTTATCATTGACCAGAAACTGGACCAGCCGTATAAATACTGTGGCTAGAAGAGTAACTCAGATGCTAGAAATTCAGCAGTGAGAACTCAATTTCTATCTCCCAAGTGCCAGCCTGCCATCTACAAGGCACAAGTCAAATGTGTGATGGAACAATCCCCACTTGCTGTAAAGGACAGTTCCAGCAACATTCACGTAGATTGACAACATCCATAACTAAACAATGCACTTGATTGGCACCACATTCACAAATATCCAATCCCTCCAACACCAACACTCATTAACAGCAGTGTGTACCATGTACAAGATGCACTGCAGAATTTCACCTAGGCTCCTGAGACAGCACCTTCTGAATTCACAACCACTACCATCTAGAATGATGAGAGCAGCAGATACAACAAGCTGCAAGATTCCCCCTCAAACATCTCACCATCCTGACTTGGAAATATATTGCCATTCCTCAGTGTCGCTGGGTGAAAATGCTTAACTCCCTCCCTACCAGCATTGTTAGAGTGCCTAGAGCAAGTATTGGCATCGGTTCAAGAAGAAGCTTACACCCCCACCTTCTCAAGAGCAACTGGAAATGGTCAATAACTGCTGGACTATGATGCAGAGGAGCTGGTTTTGGATTGGGGTGGACAACGTCAGAAGTCACACAACACCAAGTTATAGTTCAAGAGACTTATCATCTGACACTCCATTCACACCAACTGAATGATCTTTTGATCTCTCTGTCTATAAACTCTGGGTCTGTGTGCTCTGCTCTCTCACTGACGAAGGGGCTGTGCTCCAAAAGCTTGTGTGAGTTCAAATAAACCTGTTGGACTACCACCTGGTGTCGAAATGCCGGACTAGTCATCGTTGCCTACAACGGCTCCTGAGGTTTGTCCAGAGTGAATATTACATGAGTTAGCATGGAAGTGGGAGGGTAAAGAATGCTAGTTGGGGGTACAAGTGGCATAATTTGGGGATTATAAAGGGGTGAGAAACAGCGTATAGGTTAGCACAGGAATCATAAGGACTAGGGTCGTAGGCACAGGCGTACGTAGGCGCACAGGTGTTATGGGGGATGAGCAGAGTGCAATAAGGTGGCACGAAGGTTTAAGAAGCCACGGGTAGAGCGGCAGAGGGGATATAAGGTTGCATGGGTTGGCATGCACAGGGCATGGGGTATGTGTGCTTGTGGGTATGTGGGGGCAGGGAATGAAAATGTATTTTTGCTTTCAAATTTTTTCACTAAATTACAGTACAGTGTGTTGTCTGCCCGAAAGGATTACTTTAACCTTTAACCCAGGCATTCTTCCCATGTGTGACAGGCAAAAGGCAGGAAATCGACTCAGACTTTATTTAAACAAATGCTTCTTTATTTAACACTTTAAGTACCAATACTCAATACAAAACATATATTTGTGGCAACATTTACTTTTACTTCATCTAACTTAACTTCAACTTTAACTGGTTTTATTTAACTTCATCTTACCTTAGCTTTAACTTAATCCACATTTAATCCTAACTCCTACTTTAACTCTAAGTTTAGCTTGAATCAAATACCACCTCGGTTCAAGTGATGTGACCAACTTTGCTCTCAGTGTACATCTTGCATCATGGTTCTTTGTCTTCACTGAAGATACTGTCAGGTCGCATACTTCTCAACTTTTGGTCACATAGGCTACTCCTGTGAAATCCTTTGTTCTGCTAACTTTTATACAGAATGCAATCCCTCTAGAAACTTGTCTGGCACTCAACCAATGAATTGATCAAACCCTGAACACATTGGCTGGGATAAAACAATGGAGTGTTACTGGTTAAAAAACTCCCAAATGTTAAAAAGCCACATTCCATGCCCTATATAAGGTGGTATGGTGCCAGTCTGTCGAGCAGAGCACATGACATCCGCCTTATTTGGTAAATGCAGGAAACTGCAAGTCACAGCTTACAGGTAGGTCACAAGATGTTTTGCCTGCAGTTTTAACCGAGGTCAGAGTTTAAACTAGCTTGACCAAATTCCCAGGCTGCTTGCTTGCAGTTCTTAACCATTTCTGCTGCTAGCCACCTGAGCACAAGTGCCAGTTCATGGAGGTATGCCTTGAATCCAAACCACAACTTGCTTCAGGGTTGCCTGGCGCCACCTTCCAGGGAACCTCAGCATCTGGGGTTGAAAATATGACCTTACAAGTCAGTTTGTCCCAGGTCAGGTTTGTGGAGCCAGGAAATGTTTTGTCTCAGGAGCAAAATCAGGGTCTTAAATTCTAAATCAAACCTCTTATCTGCAATTTCCTTCTACACTCATTTGACATACATCTCCAAAAATCAAGTCAGATAATTATCACATTGGAAGATTGAAACAGTATTCGGACCAAGTTTTTAAAAACTTACATAACGGTTTAGATTTCTACCCCAACTGTCCCAAATTGAGTACCCCCAGTTCAACACATGTGCCACCACTGTCTTAAGCATAGACAGCCTGGGTCAGAACTCTGATAGTTCTGAAGTTCTTGAGAATTATAAACACCCGTACAAGAATCTACTCCCCACTGTTATTACCTTTTAGTTTACCTTTTCTCAAAATAAAACTATTGTTTGTCTCATAAGCAATTGATCATATTACTAGAAGGAAGTTGCCTTTCACAAGTAATCATTTTCCAGAGAAACCTGGTCCTTAAAGGGGTCATCACCAGAACAGAAGCACATGGACCATCACACCTTCCATTCATTAGCAGAAAATTGAATTAACTTGAAAATACATTCCTTCATCAGCACATGCTCAAAATCATTGAACTCTCTCCCTAACAGCACAGTATGATTATCTTCAACAGACAGGTGACAGCAATTTAAAAAGTGACTCACCATTACATTTCAAAGCTGTTTTAAAGTGGTAAACTGAATTGTCCACTGCATTTTGTGACAGTTCACGATTCAATTCGCTTTTACCAAAGAGGTCATCTGAAAAATTATTTTAAACCATTTGCTCCAAATAGGTGATGGCTAAAGGACCAGGCACATTGCAGATTTTGTTTCTTATTTTCAGAAAATTTATGAGATCACAGTCTCTTAAGTAATCATTTTAAAAGAACAGTCATTATTTATCTTAACATGCTTGTATTTTGTGCATTTTGTAATTTTAGAATATCTGTAGCTTTACAATACTAACCAGTCTTTTATTCAGCCAGTCTATGTGATCATACAAAAGTGAACCTCCAAATTCTTCAGTTAACTGGCATGGTTCTATATAGCGTGTAAGCTTGTTGGCAGACACCAAAATTACCTGTTGACAATAGAAATAAGTTAGCTAAGTAAACATTTGCAGCCCTCCCATTCTGTCTTTTTAAAAGCCTAAATAGCTATACTATATAGTATTTACCTGATAACCCAGTCAAAATTATAATTGAAATTTTTGTGCATAATCTGTTTTTCACTGAAGAAAATTCTACTAATGACTCAATCTATGGAATCTCATGAGTATACTGTCCTCAAATCCATATAGCTGAATGATACCAAACCACAAAAAATTCAATCTCTGGTTTAACATAATCTGATTTAGATTATCTTGATCCAAATTTACACTATTGAATTTGCTAGACTGGCTCCATTGTTAGTCTCAGCAATCTTCAACTTCAAGTTTATGTTACAATACAAGAGTCTCAAAATAAAAACCCCCAACTCCAGGTCATAAAAATAAACCTAACTTAACTGGAGCCTCAGAAGCCTTCTGGAAAAGAAGCACCATGCAAATAATATCATGTGTTGACCCAATTAGAAGGTTTCAGATTCTGTTGGACTCTCAATCTTCAGCAATAAAATTGTAAAACACACAATTATATGACCAGCCATATAAATCCAGTTAGTACAAGGACAGGTCAGAGGCTAGGATTCCTTTAGTGAGTAAATCATACGCTGAAATCCTGGGGATTACTATTGGACAGAAACTGAACTAGACCAGCCACATAAATCCAGTTAGTACAAGGACGGGTCAGAGGCTAGGATTCCTCCAGTGAATAAGTCATACGCTGAATCCGAAAAAACTTGTCTAACATATACAAGACATATCAAGGGTGTGATGGAATACTCTCCACTTGCCTGGATGGGTACAGTTCCAATAACACTCAAGAAGCCTGACACCATCCAGGACAACACAGGATACTTGACAGGCACCACACCCACAAACATCCAATCCCTTCATCTCCAACGCTTAGTGAGAGCAGTCTTTACCATCTACAAGATGCATTGCAGAAATTCACCAAAGATCCTCAGACAGCACCTCCGAACTCATGAACACCTCCATTTAAAAGGACAATGTCACCAGCAGAAGATCCCCTCTAAACCACTCACCATCCTGACTTGGAAATATATCACCGTTTGTTCAATGTTGTTGGTTTCAAATGCTGGAAGTCCCTGCTTAATAGCATGTAGTTCGACCTACAGCACATGGACTGCAGCAGTTTAAGGCAATTCACGACCACCTTCTCAAGGGCAACCAGGGACAGGCAATAAATGTTGTTACCCACATCCCATGAGTAATTTAAAAAAATGGAAGATTTGTCCTTTTAACAGCTATTTAGATGTTACTACTTTAACCACCTACCCGTTGGAATCATGTCGGCACTGAAGTTATTCCAGAAGACACTGTCAAGTATTCAGGAATGCATCATTTTTCATATGGACAATATCTTAATCCACAGTTCAACAAAAATATGGCCAGTGAGCAAGAGAACATAGAACATAGAACATAGAACATTACAGCGCAGTACAGGCCCTTCGGCCCTCGATGTTGCGCCGACCTGTGAAACC